CTGGGCGGGGCGTAGTCCGGAGCCTCTCCACTGCTCGGGTTGGAGGTTGTGGCAGATGGCAGGGACACCGACATGGGCGGGGCGTTGGTGATGATAGGTGGCGGCACCGTGCGGACCTGCGGCTGTTTCAGAGAGGAGCTGAACTGCCGCTGCGGCACTGTTTTGATTGGCTGTTTCTTCGGAGTAATGCTTTCATCCTTGAGCTTTGCAATCTCAGAGAAGACATGGGCCAGTGGCTGGTACTGAGGCCCCCAGTCGATGAGGTAGTCCCAGTTGTAGGAGCCGCTGTTCACCTCCTCGCTGTTGACCACACTGGACAGCGACCCCACGTTGGCGGTGTCTGGCTCGTGGAAACTCATCCCTTGAGTCCTAGCCTCCAGAGTGGCTGCTTCGTCGTCCGTCTCCAGATCCGTCATTTTCTCAAAATCTGTATCCACCCCACCCTCGCCGCCTCCCTCATCCGAGAACTGGTGCATACTCTCGGCGGATCGGCCCAGCTGTTTGTTGTTTGTGTTGTTCGAAGACTTCGTCTTGCCGATCTTGGAGGAGTCGATGCCCAAGTTGGCCAGGTATTCCTGGTGTGTCTGCGCCGTGGGTTCGGACAGAGTGTCGTCGTCGTGCTGGATGCCCGAGTCGGGCATGGCTTTCTGCCGGAACGCTTGCGACGAGTGGAGGAAACTGCTCGAGTTGATGCGACTGATCTCTTCGTCCTCCTCCTCCGCTTCGGCCGAGCCCCGCCCGCTAGAGGCCGAGTTGTGAGACTGGTCAGAGATGTCTGAGACCAGGTGGTTCCCCTGGGGCGGCCGGTTGATGCGGATCACGTCTCCGTGGAAGGTTCTGTCGTGGGGCAGCTGGGGCGGGGGTTCAAGGTCAAGCGTGGAGTCACTTGAGTAGTTTGGCACGGCCTTCCTCGGGCTGCGGCGGCGGTAGATGAAGAAGAGGATGATGGCGATGGTGATGATGATGACAACGATACAGCCCACGATGATCCCTGCCAACACCCCTCCGTCCATCCCCTCGTCCGCGCGCAGTTTCCCCACAGGCGCGGCACAGCCGGGACAGCTGCGGTCGATGGTGATGCTGCACTGCGCGGTGCCGACCCTTGACCCCGGCTGCCCTGAGCTCACCTGGATGGTCAGGTGTTCCGTGTCAGAGGTCAACGCCCTCTTCCTGCGTGAGGTCTGGGTCCTGACGGGGGGCGGGTCGTCGTGGAGGGTAACTGCCACCGTGATGTTGCCCGTCGCCTCGTTGATGGTGAAGTAGTCGCTGGGCTCCAGGAAGCTGTACACGCGTCTGCCCGCCGCTCCTTCATCCAAGTCGGTTGCCGACACATGGCCGATGTAGTCACCAGCTTTGGCAGAGCCCGGCACCTCAAAGTTGTACTCCTGGGCCGTCAGAAGTGGGTCAAACTCATCCATATCCACCACGCGGATTGTGACGTCAGCGACATCCAGGTTCCCGCTCGTGTCCCGAGCGCTGATCGTGAGATTGTACAAGTGGGGCAAATTGGGATTTTCAAAATCAAACTCGTAAAGCGCACGGACATCCCCGCTGAGGGGACGGATCTCGAACTTCTGGGAGGTCTGGGAGAACTCGTTGGAGAATTCGTTTAAGAACTCGTACGTGACACGACCCGCATCCCCTCTGTCCCCGTGGTTGGCGTGCGCCCGAAACACGACGGTGCCACGCGGAGAATTCTCCGGCAGATCTGCTTCATAATGCTGCATCGGGAACAGAGGCTTGGACTCGCTCACATCAGTCACAAATATGTCGACGGTGACAAACGCCGAGAGCCGGGGTGCAGTCTGATTGCAGCGGTAGCAGTCGACGACGCGGAGGATGAGACGGTGCGAGGTGTGCGACTCATAATCTAAATGCATCTGCTCCATGATCACCAGCCCCCCCTGGTTGTCTCGGTTGATGAAGATTCCCTCACTATTCCCCGATGTGATGGAGTAACGCAGTTCCCCATTCAAGCCGGAATCGGCGTCCGTGGCATTGACACGCAAGAACTCCTTCAGGGGCGGGTAATCCTCCGGCAGGGTGATGGAGTAGCGCTCCTGCACAAAAACCGGAGCGTTATCATTTTCGTCGTCCACAATAATCGTCACAGGAACGGACGAGTTTTTCGGCGGGGTCCCCCTGTCTGTGGCAAAGGCTGTCAGGTCGTAGCGGGTGCGGAGCTCGTAGTCAATGCCGCCGCTGTAGTAGATGTGGCCCGTGCGCTGCCGGATGTGGAAGTGTTCGGACCCTGTGCCCACCAGCGTGTAGTTGATGTTGTCGCCACGGTGCGCGTTGTCCTCGTCAATGGCCGTCACTTGCAGCACCAGGTGACCTTTCTGAGCTGACTCGCTGATGTGAGCTCTGGGGACGGACAGACGGAATTTGTTTAATAACTTTCTACATTTTACTAAGGTACTGTACCAAATTTTGTCAGAATACAGTGAAAATAAGAAAATACATACGGGTGGTTGGCGGGTGCTCTGGCGTGGTTTGCTCCTTCTTTCCTATCAAACATCTATCGTGCTTATCTCTCCTCCTTCTTTCCTATCAAACATCTATCGTGCTTATCTCTCCTCCTTCTTTCCTATCAAACGTCTATCGTCCTTATCTCTCCTCCTTCTTTCCTATCAAACATCTATCGTCCTTATCTCTCCTCCTTCTTTCCTATCAAACATCTATCGTCCTTATCTCTCCTCCTTCTTTCCTATCAAACATCTATCG